ATGGTAGTATCTTTTATTCATTTATTATTATTTTTTTGCCCCTTTTAAAACACTTTTTTTTTAATTTAAAAAACAAAAAAAAAAACACTTTTCTTGGATCAAAGACTCTCTTATTCATTTCTCTCACGTTTAAAAGGTTTTGAATCCGAAAACACTTTTCTCTAGAAATTGGAGTTTTCTCAAAACTTTGGCTTTACTTTTATTGAATTTCAATTCTTCCATCCCCATGTCTCCAACAACAAGATATAATTCCTAATTCTTGAATTAAATGAGAAGTTACTAAATTTTTTAAATCTTCATCAATAAATTAAAGATTGCGAAAGATAACCATAACATGATTAATTATTCATTGGTAAAATTTATGAAAATTAATTCATAATTTGTTTTGTAAACGGTTATAAATTTTTCTAACATTTTCATTATGTCATGTAACCTTTTCATGATTTTTCAAAGCAAACTTTATAAAGTTTTTTTCAATTGAAAATAATTAGTAAATATGCTTATAATTTTAGATATTTGTAAAACAGTTATGATTACTTATTCATATTTGGGTTATCTTTCACGGAAACTGATTTAAATTTTTCAAAATTTCACAAATTTATATGAATTTCTCTTTCGATAGATAACTTCAAAATATATATCAACTAGGTGAAAAATAAAATGGTGATTTCATCTTTTGAAATCTCTAATTTTTTTCCTAAACAAACGAATTAGATTAAAAGAGAAATTCATAATATTTGTATTCATGATCTTTTTACTAGTCCACAACAGTACTCAATGCTATAATCATTTTAACTACTTTAATCCAAATATTTGAGACATAACATTTTGGGTAAAAAAAAAAGTTGAAATTGTGAAATTTCAAAACATTCTCAACTTTTTTATTTACTAAACAAATTTCAATTTATTTAACAAAAAAATCTCTAACTTTATACTTATTAAGTCATTTTAGTCATATCGGTAATCAACTACAACTGTTGATTAACCGTGGGACTAAAAAGGATTTGGTTAAGAAAAATTAGAGATTAATTTGTTTAATCAAAAAAAATTTGAGCATTTATTTGGTTCATGAGAGAGTTCGTGTTTTTTTAGGCCGAAACTTAAAAGTTGAAGATTTATTTTAACAGTATTCACAAAAAATAACAATTCAAAGGACTGAGAAACTTGATCTTACATTTCTCGGAGTGAGGAGAAAAGCTTTTCCTTCAGATAATTTATCAATCTTGAATCTTGGAACATGGAAGCACTTCTTACTCCAATTACTTTATTGATTGCACATATTACTTTCAAAAAT